GCAATCTGCCCTGTCGAAAGTCCCTCTTTGCTCAAAGAAACAATGACTTCCTTTTTCCATGGAGTTAACTCACAACTCTTGACCATGGTAGCATCACAAACACACACACTCGTTGTAGCAGTTAGGCTTCTAAACTGACTCTCAGTTAGAACTTCTGTTTATAGGAAACAGTTGACTGATGCAATACCCAGACAACTTATAAAGCTCATGTTGTAGTAATTACACAATATTGCATCATCCATGAAACATATTTGCACCTATATGCATTAGGATCTCAAACCATGATTCTAAAAAAAAAGTGTGAAAAATTGGGTGATGCAATAAATTATTCCACCAATGTAAAAATAAATCACTTTTAATCCCTTACCTCACCTGAGTGGCGAAGAGTCAAGAAAACTGAATTTTTATAGTACAATTATACTTCTATTTCTTAAGACACTTAATACAGACTCAGTTGATTCGACCAAGCTTGTGACCCCAAATTGAACAGTAGGTTTTCCATACTATAACTTCTAGTATGTTTTGTGTAGGTTCAGGAAAATTTTGCAAGTTTTCAGTAAGCATTACAAGTTTTTTTTGTACACAAAAAAATCTGAATTTTTAATAATGTTTTTTCACCTAAAATTTCTTCATGAACATATGGAATCAAAGTGTTGACTGCTTCAAGTGGAAAGGGATTTTTTTCATGTTAATTTTAGAAATACTTTTCTTCATCTGAAAATTGTCAAATTCCATTTGTGTAATCTGTAAAACCTCCTAAATAAATTTCAAACTTTCATTTCAATAAAACTTTATATTTTATCTGTTATGCTCTCTACCCAACTCTGTACCAGTCAGTTAATTTGACTGACTTTGTATTTACCAAAAAAACAGGAAATACATCTAAATTACCTTTTTTTTTTCCTGACCACTAATTTTAACAGGAACATACATTTGTTTATCCTAAATAGCTTAAAGCTCATAACGTATACATCTGTTTCTACTTACATTTTATTGTTTTATTGCCCTTTAAACTGTGTCTAACTAATAATCCCACCATACCAGTTGTAAATCATTTGGCAAATGTGTAGCTCATGTTACTCTATTGAATTAAGTAATGCACAGCCTACTTTTGAACATTCCTCATGAAAAGTATTACTTTTTTTTGTATTAACTACTCTAACCTTATGTAGCCTAAAAGGTGTCTAAATTTTCTCTTTTAGTTACTTTTAT